AAGCTTTTTCATCACATAGCAACAGAATTTAGTCCGTATTAGTTATAAGAGGTAAGATAGCCTACAGTGTAGTCTATGAAGTTTCAGAAAATAATGAAGGCAAGTGGGAAAGACAAGCGTTATTCGGTTTAAGGGGGAAAGAGGCAGACGAAGCATGTATGCAAAAATAAGCTATTAGGCTACTGAAGGTCCGAGACACATGTGCTCACCTGTTCTGCTTGACCAAACTGTGAACCCAGCTGCACCAAGTGCGCAGGGCGGATGAAACCGTCTGAGTCCTCGTCACACACGTCAAACACTGCTTTGAGTTTCCTCACGAATGTCAGCAGATGCTCCGGCTGAGGAACAAAGTTTTCTTCCATCCTTTATCGCTTTGTTCTTCTTCATGCGGTATGCTTTACCCCGACGTGAAGCACAATGGCACCATGTTGTTTGGAAACCGCTCGGTCTGGGCGTGTGACACAAACTGCAGCGCGCGAGAGGAAGAATGCTGCTGATGGATGGGACCGGGAACAAGTCCCAACCCGGAAGCAAAGGGGAGCACAGAAGTGCTTTCAGAATCACAAAGTAGAATCAGAAATACTTTATTGATTCAGTACATTACCCGTCATGTCCACTTTTCTTTCACCGCCATCACTTTTTCAGCTTTTTCAGTTAGAACAGCTAATTGCCTGGCAAACACTGTTGCTAGCAATGTGTCAGTGAGAGCTCAGGATGGACACAAGTCTCTAGTTAAATCCACATGCAGTTTATTATACCCATGCCATGCCATTACAACAATCCATAGCACAAAAAACTCTTATTAAGAAAAGGTCATTTAAGAGATTTAGAGAAGTATAAAAAGTGGTGTGTGAATAAAAACTGAGAGGTCCTGATCTAGACAGTCTCCAGATGCCATGATACTTTGGCTTTCTTTGGCTTAGCTAAATGCTAATATCAGCAACATCCTCAAAATTATAGTTTTTTTGTTTTATATATTAAGTATTAGGTCATAAGGCAAAGATTTGGACAAAAAATGTTTAGACCTGTTAGTGGCACTAGAGGAAAAGTGAAGGGATCGCCAAGATATTTTCATCCTTAGGGGTACATCCATGTGCGTACCAAAGGGCATGGTACTCCATCACATAGTTGTGAAGCTATTTCTTGCAAAGCCACTTATTTGAGCCTCATGGTGGCACTAGAGTCAGCAGGATTTACTGTCTGGTAGCTATGAAAGTCTGTACAATATTGGGTGCCAATCCATCAAGTAGATGTTGAGATATATCACCGGATAAATGAACGTCTCCCTGTTTAGCATTTATAAGCAGTATATATAAACATTTAGCATTTATAACGTACCCTGTGAAGACATATGTCATTTTATTATAACTGTTTTGTATGTTGGCATTCATTATTTGTTTATATGCCAGCCTCCACTTACTGTATATGTACCCAGAAAATGAGTTATATTTGTTGACAAATGTATTAATAAACACTTATATCTTAATATATAATATATGAAAGTTTAGAGGGACGGCCGGGTCTTCGTAGATTTGCAGTGGTCTGATACTCCTTCCATTTCAATATTATCGCTTGCACAGTGCTCCTTGGGATGTTTAAAGCTTGGGAAATCTTTTTGTATCCAAATCCGGCTTTAAACTTCTCCACAACAGTATCTCGGACCTGCCTGGTGTGTTCCTTGTTCTTCATGATGCTCTCTGCGCTTTAAACGGACCTCTGAGACTATCACAGAGCAGGTGCATTTATACGGAGAATTGATTTCACACAGGTGGATTCTATTTATCATCATTAGTCATTTAGGTCAACATTGGATCATTCAGAGATCCTCACTGAACTTCTGGAGAGAGTTTGCTGCACTGAAAGTAAAGGGGCTGAATAATTTTGCACGCCCAATTTTTCAGTTTTTATTTGTTAAAAAGGTTTGAAATATCCAATAAATTTCGTTCCACTTCATAATTGTGTCCCACTTGTTGTTGATTCTTCACAAAAAATTACAGTTTTAAATCTTTATGTTTGAAGCCTGCAAGGCACTGTATCTGCATGGATGAAGGCTTGCCTCCTTCAACTAAACCTCTCTAAGACTGAACTCTTGGTCATTCCAGCCAAGCAATCTGTTCACTATAACATCAAACTACAAATTGACTCCTCTACCATCACTCCAACCAGGGTGGTGAGAAACTTGTGTATCATGACTGATGACCAGCTGTCTTTTTCAAACCATGTTGCTGCTGTCTCTCGGTCATGCCGCTTTGCTCTATACAACATAAGGAAAATCAGGCCCTACCTCGCTCAGTATGCCACCCAGCTTCTGGTACAGGCCATGGTTATCTCTCGCATCGACTATTACAATGCCCTCCTTGTAGGTCTTGCAGCTTGTGTGGTGAAACCCTTACAAATGGTTCAGAACACAGCAGCGCGTCTGGTTTTTGATCAGTCCAAAAGGACTCATGTCACTCCATTACTCAGTGACCGCCACTGGCTCCCCGTGGCCTCCAGAATCAGATTCAAGTCACTAATGCTTGCATACAGAGTGACTACTGGGTCTGCACCCATCTACCTAAACTCCATAATACAAACTTACGTTCCTCCTCGGCCACTACACTACTCCAACGAACGCTGCCTGGCTCTGCTATCCCTTCACACAAAGCAATCCCGGCTGTTTTCATCTGTGACACCACAATGGTGGAACTTGCTACCACACACCATCAGAGCAGGGGTGTCCCTCTCTAACTTCAAGAAGCTCTTGAAAACTCATCTCTTCCAATAACACTTCCTCTTATAACACCTCTAACATGCACTTCCTGTGCTCTTCTTCTTCTGTCCCCTTACTTCCTTCCCTAGGTATTTACCCATTGATGTGATATGAACTATGAGCTCTTACTAGTATTTATTGCTGCTCTTACTAGTATGTATTGTGAGTTGTAGATCTCATGCTGTATTTGATGCTCTGTTGATGCTTGTACGTTGTTCCTCAAATGTAAGTCGCTCTGCCAAATGAGTAAATGTAAATGTAAATACCAGTTAACATATCTCTTGTTTACAGAATGTGGATCAGCATTTCACAGAGCTGTGGTAAAAGGGTTCTTAAATTGTATCTACCTTCTTCCTGATTCTGGTGGCATCATTTTGGTATTTGTATGGTTCTATTTGTCAACACACTTTAATTTTGGCTTCTTATCATAGAGACAGTTCTACACCCACGATGAAAGGTGAATGCTAGACAATACCACTTCCTGGATCACATGCAAGAACCACTCATTATGAGGAGATGCTGTGCTATTGTCAAACTATTTTGTATTGTATTGCATGCTGAAAGTAGGCGTTACGATGCTGAAGTAACCCACAATTTGTTTTGTAAATAAGCAGTGTAGTATTCTGGGGGGTCAACCTGAACATTGTCTCCTGATGGATTTGAGAGATGCATGCATTCAGATCCCACAGTTTCATTCGAAACAAGTGTGTATTTTTTTGGCACAAGGAATGTCTGTACTGTATTGCCTTAAGAAAATAATTTAGTCTCTTCCTGTACTCCTTCCAGTAAACAAGCACGGTTCAAATGGAGGAATTTTAATTTTATTCATCAGTGGCATTTATAAAGAACAATAACTAATTTTCTTCCTCAAATATATATGGCAGTAGCCACTAGTTTTTTTCTTCTGCTTTTGACATCCGCCATTGTCTTTGCTTCCCTGTACATATTTGTTTGTGAACAAGCGCTTACAAAATATTAATCCGTAGAAGAGGAGACATCCTGTTAAACCCAATTTCCTTAATAAGCATGGACAAATAATGTGTCTTTAAGGTTTTAAAATGTTTATGGTCTTGATCGGCAGGGCACTCTAAAGAATCTGCACTTATATTAATATTTTTATGATGAGATTTACTACTCCTCTGTAACTGGCTTTAGTGTCAATGAAATGGTTGTGGAGCCAATCTTCCTTTTGATGAACTGATAATGAAAAATTACTCTCTTCATTTTGTTGGGTGTAAGTAGACGTTCCCAGAGTAATGTTCCCAGACTAATCTCCTCTCATCTAGAAATATTTACCACCTTGAGATAAATCACATTTATTTCTCTTTTGGGCCTGAGTTCTAGTCCCTCTGTTGTGTAATCTAAACTACTTCTGCTTCACAGAGATTCAACTTTGGAGTTGTTGATATAGTTTATAAACATCTTGTTCCATCTAACAATGACCTAATTCTTGGTCACTATTCTTCGATTTTCTTTCATCATCTGCAGATTTTGCTGTCACAAACTTGCCCCATTAAGCCTATCCTTCTTTTTGCACAAAAGAAGATTTTTATACAGACACTAATAAACTTGTTTTCAGGCCACTTTTTCAAAAGAATGCATAAAATAAAATAAAAAATGTTGTACTTTTGGGGAGATGCAGGCCAGTTTGTTGAACTTTTTGTACTCTGCATTTAATCTATAATAATATTTAGTCTTTATTTCTACAAGTAACAAAACAAAACAATAAATCCCCCACCAATGGGGAATGAAGAAACAAGAAACCTAATGAAATAATACATCATTATGATCATATTTACTGACGCAATTGCATTAATAATCTTGCAATAATCAAGCTGTATTGAACATCTCAGTCTTATACTTGACTCACAACAGTTGACATACAAACTTAAAATATAAGACAAAAGCAATGATTGAATTGCAACACACCTTTAACTGAAAATAGATGATCATGGACGTTTTTGAGGAGAAGAGCAGCTTATTAGCAAACATATCTCTGGCACTGCATTGACATGTTGGTGATCATTGTCATAAATTTCTCTTTCTCTCACTTAAAATGGTGACACAGAAATAGATTTAGATGTGGTTAGTCAGATTGTGAGATCTGCTATGATTATTATTCTCATTACTTGGCGCATCTGGCCAATGGACTCCAAAAAAGGAAGTGTGTTTACAGGGTCAACTTCCTCCATTGGAGTCTTCAAGAGGATGTCATACGTATTAAGAAAAGAGAGAGAGAGAGACAGAGAGAGACAGACAGAGACAGAGAGAGAGAACAGCCCATGCTTGTAGGTGCTTTCTTACTATAACCATTCAGTCTTCTTCTTGTGTCAAAGATGCAGGTTGTCAGTGGTGGAAAATTACTTTGGATATACACTCTGCTTTTTACTTCTCAACAACTTTGGGGTAAGTGTCATACTAGGTCTGTAGTGTTTTTAAACACATTCTTTCTTTTCTTTTGTATATAACAACTAAAATATATACAGTATATATCCACTAGAAATATCTATTAAAGTTACGGGCAATATCTCTATTTCAAGTCTCATGTTCAATTGTAACTTTTTCATCAGCTGCAATCATCAGTTTGGTAAAAAAGTGAGCGTCACCACATGTCACAATCACAACAACGTTTTTACGTGCCTTCCGCAAAAAGCTGTTGCTCCAGCTTAAAATGAATTTGTGAAACTCAGCTGATTCCTGCTGTATGTTATATGTTTGTCTTTTCTGTCTAGGAAGACTATCAGCTTCCACTTCCTCTCCCACTCTTCTGGCACCTGAATTAGACATTTATTTAAGGTCAAAGGACTCAGTGGTTCTGGTCTGCCGGACCCCGGAGGGCCACCGCGGGGTTCTGTTCATGTTGTATCGGTTAAGAGAAAAGGTAATTGTTTTGAGGATGTGTGTGTGTTTTCTGTTGCGCCTTGTGTTACCACTGGGCTCCTGTGACTTAATTGCTCTCTGTATGTCTCTTCATTTGTTGAGGTGGACTCTCAGGAGCTGCAGTCTGGTGGTGAGGAGGTCCGGTTCACTGTGAGGATAGAGGAAGGGGAACGTGAACTCTTCTGCTGTCTGTACAAGAACCAGGATGGTCGTTACAGCGCATTCAGTCCCTATTTGCAGCTGGAGCCCCAAAAACGTGTGTCTGCTTTACTTTGCATTTCAACCTATTACACACACTTCATGGCAGCATTAAAAAGAAAAATATACCACACAAACCATTATTATAATAAATAGAGAGAATCAGGACACTGGTCTAGGCTGTCTTGAAAGTGGAACAAAAGAGTTTGTAGAGTTGATCTGTTCAATCTGCACCCAGTCGTGATTCTGCATATAAAAAAATAAACACTCTCTTCCGCTCCTCTCCAACCACCAAAAAACACTGCTGCATGCAGGTGCTCTCTGTGGTCTCTTATTGTCCTCCACTCTGTGGGTGTGTAGTGGTAGTTACATCCTGCACTTCATTTAGAAACCACACACACACACACACACTCACAAAAACATCAAACACAATGTGTACTGGGTTCCAGTGTTGACGGTTAAAGAGGGAGGTTTGGCAAGCAACTGTGGGAAACCAATGTTGTTAGCATTATCTGAGGTTTTACATGATTTTTGCCAGCGAATGCAATATGTAAAAATAATAACATAGAGATAATTGTTTCATTTTCCTCTCCCTTTCTGTACTTCTCTAGCTGCTGCCCCCACTCGCTCCATACCCTCTTTCCCTCCTCCAGTGTTGTCTGTGAAACCCTCCACTGGTGTGGTAAAACGTGGGGAGATGTTATCCTTCAGCTGCTCAGTTCCCACTCTTCAGTCCCGGTCTCAGTCCCAGTCTGGCCATAACAAAAATCCAGTGACCTTCCTTTTAATGAGGGCTGCTGAGCCAGCAGGGGTGACATCCATTATTCTCCAGCCTCAGGCCAGTCAGGCATCAAACCCTGAACCCCAGTCGGGATTCTTCAATGTGGGGCCAGTGTGGGGAGGAGAGGAGGGCGAGTACATCTGCCTTTACCAAATCACCAGAAAAAGGGCATTGGTTAACTCAACTGTCAGCAACGTGGTTCAAATCACTATTACAGGTGAGGATGTCCCACATGACAACTCTGGAACAGTTGAAATAAACCTTGTCACCACTGAGTTTGTTTAAATCTTTACTAAAAATTTATTTTTCTAAACCTGCATCTTTACGCCAAGCTTTTTTCTTTTGATACATTTGGTCTCATCATTCAAACTAGTTTACTGATAAACATTTTTCTTCCCTCCTGCCCAAAGCACTTTTAAACATTGAGTTAAGGTGTTAAATATTGTAACTATTATTGTGACCCTGGCTGAAAAATGATTCATATAAAATGATTAACTGCTTTATGTGTGGATAAAACTAGCAAATGCGATGAATCATCATCATTTTTTAATCTGCTGTTTTTTTCTCAATTAATCAATCCTTTGTTTTGTTTTTAAAAAGCAAAAAAATAGTGAAAAATGTCCACCGTTACATTTCCCAAAATCCAACTTCCAAATATATATATATACTGTATATATATATATATATATATATATGTGTGTAATAAGATACACATGGCAGTGTCAACGGTTAATGTTTTCTCTGATTTTGTCGGTTGCCAGATGCGATGCCAGTGCCCACCCTTGTTCTCCAGCAGCAGACAGACGTGTGGCACTTGCTCTGCATAGGGTCTCCTGCATACCCGGGCTCTGTGTTCTCCCTTTACTTGGCTGATAATGAACTTCCTATTGCCACTCACCATGCCACCTTGATCCACCATCAGGCCAACTTCCCAGTGCCTGTCCAGGACACTCTAGTGGCTTTGTACCAGTGCCAGTACAGTGTCCTCCTGGAAAGAAAATGGATACATTCTGATCGCAGCCTCCCTTTGGCTGTAACCAGAGGTACAGGTTTACAGCTGTAATGTCTGTGTGTGGCTTGTTCAGGGTGTAATTTCACACAAAATCTGACGGTTTGCCTCTTTTCTCCTTTTTCAGGAAGTCCTCCTCCATCATCACCAGGTAGACCTACAATAGCATGTCATTATTTCATGTGAAATTTTATGTAATATGTATTTTTAATGGGCAGGAAGTAAATGACAAAATGTATCACAGATGTCTGAAGAAAAGTAACTACAGTTACCCTGAATCGCACTTCTACTCCAGTGACCATGAAAATCTCTCACAATCCTTTTTGTATCTCACAATAATGCCATGTCTGCAGATTTGTCTGGCGTGGACTGGCCTCTTGTACTGGGCTCTTTCTCTGCTGTGGTATTGTTCCTGTGTTCAGTGGCACTTGTGGTTGTGGTGGCACACAGGAAAGGTATTTCACATGTGAATCTCTGCTCCCTCACTGTTACATTTACGCTGCAATGATTGTTTTCCATTGTGAAACAGATTATTTTCTTCTCTCCACCTTTTTTTAACAGTAAAAGCAGCAGCCGAGGAAAAGAAGAAAAGGTATTCTTTAGTTCTCATTAGGCTTAAAGACAGCAAGATTTAGACCAGTAAATGATCAATGTTTGTCTATCCAGAATCAATGTATCTTCTTAAAGTTGTTATAAATGAGTCATATTTTACTACGAGTACCGTGACAGCCATGACACACGAGCAACATTTAGAGGCAGCATTAAATGCAGATATTCTCCTCAGTAACAACATAAAAACTGTTTAAAATTGCTCAGAATTTGCACGAATATGATATTTAGTTTAAAAATGTATCATGGCCAGCAGAGAAAAGTAATAGCAGTTTATTAATCTCTCTCCCACAAAAATATATGCATTTCACATTATAGGTTTTGCCCTTACACAGCTCCGATTTGGAGTTACCAAATAAATTTCATATAACTTTGTACATAAAATGTATTATTGCATAAAATGTTGCTGTGCTGAACTGTTTCAGACAGGAAGCACAGTTCTGGACTCAAGTTCATGCCAAGGACCATGTTGTTGGTGAGTTTGCGATCATATTTACAGCTAGTTAATTAATTTCCTCTCATATCTTGCAAGGCAATTGTAATAGTTCTGCAGTATATCGCATGGATGTTCCAAGTAGAGGTATATACTGATGCAAACCACTGCTTGACAATGTGCTTTTTTTTTTCTCCACAGACCTTACACTCAGGCGTACAAGCTTCACCTCTCAGGTAAATATTAACCTGAAAGTCCAATTGCTAATAAAAATTCTTGGATGATTAATCAACTGTGATTGTAGCGTGCAGTAGCTTCTTTTTTACCTTTGTACCTTTCTATTACAACTCATTGAGTTAAGCGATAAAGCTGGCTGGCTTTTTGTTATTGTCAACAAATCCCATGAAAAAAACAAAACCAACAACATGTTAGCCCATCTCTCCATCTCTCAATACTTGATGACTTCCTCAAGCCCATTAGTTCCTTCGGAAGACGTAAATCTTTTTAACAGGTCACAAATATATAGATTCATCTTTTAAAAAGGCTAAATATTTTCCTAAAACAGACAGAGTTCTGGGCAAACAGTACTCAAATAGGAGTAAATAGTACATTTGTTGGGGACTCTTCAGCAGTGGATTAATACACATTTGGTGTTTTGAGTATTGTTATATTTTTATATTTATATATTTTATGTATTATTGTTATGCACCAAGTCACCAAAGCAAATTCCTTGTATGAGTAAAACTACTTGGCAATAAAGCTGATTGTAATTCTGATACTTGGGATGAACTAGGATCAGTTCATTTCTGGTTTTGGTCTTTTGGTCTTTGCTGACAATAAGAAAAACATATAATATCACCAGACTTATCCTTTAAGCATTTTAAACTTTGCAATATGAATACTGATACAGAAATAAGGCTGTTCATGTGCAGTTTTCTGGTCTGCCTCTTTCTTTTGGTATTTCTGGAATTTCTGCAGCCTCCGTGTTTCTCCTGTAGATTCAGTATGACAAATAACTGTAAACTTCCATGATCCCTTTGCAGTAAACAAACACACACACGCACAAACATACATGCACACACACACAAATGAACACACACATCCAATCACCAAACATTCTGTCAACCCACACATGTTCCTCATTAGCGCTGTTGCGTAGGGTTTGGGTCTGCCTCTCATTAGTTGTAATCACTTTCATTAATTATCTTGATGAAGGGCTCTCTCCAGGCTCTCCTAGAGGACAGAACGCAGTCATCACCAGCTGACATCCAGCTATCATGACAGGCACGGCAGGGACTGAATATTTAATAACGGATGTGTCTCAGTCTTAGCAGTGATCCTGAGTGGCTTACCTTTTACTTAAAGAGCAGTCATTTTATTAAGAATTGCAGCAATTTTGGGCTGTAGTTTTGTCAGTTGTGTCTCCTTTGCTGGAAATAATTTCCTATAATTACTAAAAGCATTGGTCCAGTATAGAGGGATCAGTTGGATCTATTGTGGTTAGCCACAGATAAAGACTTGATAGTGAAATGACTCCATCGATGTGAAGCTTCTTCATTATGCGTAGGCCCATTTAAAGATGGGAGATAGGAGTCTGGTTGCTGGTGGTGGTAGAGTAAAGCCTTGATGTGGAGGTCAGAAAAACAGAATTGCAATGATATTAAAAGAGCAACATCCAAGGACTGATCTGGGGTCTATGAACACGGGCAGAAAACATCATCGATCTGTTATTCTGATGTCAGAAATTTTAATTATGGGGACTTTGCAGGGACAGTGTGGGAAAGAAGTGACAGATTAGATTAGAACGGGGGGGGGACAGCAGAAATTCACCCATAAAGGCAGAACAGAGAAAATATCTTCCTTATTTCACTTTCGCTCAAGTGCTATTTCAATAAAAGTTAATAACTATATTCCTCATTACTCCAAAGACCAAAAGCAGACTTTCATCTACAAATGAAACAAGAACGGAGACCACACTCATGTTTTTTCAGTGTCAGAAAATGTTTGGGATGATGTATTGGGAGTGATGAAAGTGATAATAGGTTATGAGATACCCAAGATATATATTTTTCCGTTTTAAGGTGCCCAGACATGTGAAGGCCATGTCAGTTAATGCCACAGGAAACAACCTTATGTAGAGATCTTTAACATATCTTACATGTGGATTTTTGTATATATATGTGCAGGAATGGGCCAATGAGGAAGCAACTACAGAGACCGCCTCCAGATCCCCTTTATGGAACTCTCTCTCCACATTCACAACCCCGATTCATCCGATCCATTAGAAATGTTTGTTTTTTCTCTCCCTCTGTCTCTCTCTGTCTCTCTCTCTCTCTCTCTCTCTCTCTCTCTCTCTCTCTCTCTCTGTGTTTATACTTTATTTCAGAGTTTATCAATGTAGCATCAGTTGGAGTTACACAGCAGGACAGGAAGGGCTATTTCCTCAGTTCCTATTTCATGTGTACCAGTAAAAATTGTACAATTTGACAGGATATGATGTTTGTTTGATCTTACATGTTACTGAGCCAGTGAATATAAAAAAAGATTTTTATTATTATTACATTTCCATGTGTTTTGTGAATAACTTAATTTAAGCTTAAAGTTTGTCTTTGACCTGAGATTAAGCAGATGACAAAACCTCCTTTTAGTAGCTGTTCTGGATGGGCAGATGCAATGTAAAACTGTCTATACACTTTTTAACTATATAGAGAGCTCTGAATATTATTTTTTTGAGGTTGCATGGTCACAACAATAATAAAAACAATACTACTGTATCAAAAACAGAGATTACAAAGTGCTGTACAAGGAAAAAAGACACATAACACAAAAAACACAAGAATATAAGTTCTTCATACAAACAAAACATGCAAACATACCAACATACATGTTACAGCTGGATTACTTACAGTAAATACACCAACCTGCATACACTTAAATACACATTTGTGGACAAACTACCCTAATTAAATAGGGTGATTTAAAAACATATTTTTATACATTTTCAGAAGGGACTTATAATTTTGCAAAGCAGGCGGGAGTTGAGGTTCCCTAACTGCAATACATTGGTCTTTGTTAGTCTTACACCTGAGGACCTCTGGGCCCAGGCCAGGACATAATGATGTTTCTCAGAAATCAAATGTGCTCACATACAGTACAAGAGGTGTGTAGTGACTGTGGAGGAAAGGGCAAGCCTTTCTGGAATAGGCCTGCTGTAGTTTTGCTGAATATTCTGCAGAGGGCACTGTTTAGACATCATTTGAATTTAAAAAACACAACTTCAGTACAGCATACAAAACAACAATGTGACATGCATGAAGCCAAGCAACCTTGTTGTATCTACAATAATACACTAACCACGGACAGCTAACTTTTTACCATGTGATAATGGGACAAGAATCAACCCATAGGACATTATGTTTGAGCCCTTATATATATATATATATATATTTGTTTAGTTGTTTTATTCTACATTGCATGTGAAAGTGCACATGATCAAATATCAGTAGGCTACCATGTGAATGTGAGCAAGTAAAAAGACTCAGGAGGGAGATAACCCTCCCACCTGTTTATGTGGCTTTTATGATGGACAATAACAGGGGTGTCATTGTACTTCTGGAAGCAGCAAGAAAGCCAACTCAATTAGTACTGAGTTTTATTACATTTTACTGGCCTCTGTAGCAGCACAGGGCTTTCTTTCAGTTGCAGACATGCACACAGAGAATGTTTTTATTAATTTCTCTTTCATTCACACAGAAAAAAAAACCCAGATGCAATGCGAGGATAGACTTAGATTAATTTAAGGGTTGCAAAGTCTGCATGATGTCTAGCTCATATTCAAGTCTGAGTCATAGTTTACTGTTCCTGTGTGGTCAAATGCAACCACATGCGCGCACAGTGAAGATATTCTGCTCCAGATAATGAGGTTAGCTGATCTGTTTAAAGAGGCACAATAATGATAAGAGGCCTGAGCGATATGAGTTTGACATGCTGATGAATTTAAGTGGCACCTTAATTTGCAACCACAGCACACTGGCGTGTGGCAGCGTCACACTGGGTGTGTATGTGTGCATATATGTGACAGACTGAATTGTGAGTCAGGTCCATATAAAGTGACATTAGCAATCTTGAAACTCATGATAATTGCCCTTTGAAGGCCACCCCATGCTGTGTCTCAAATGTATTAGCTAAAGGAGTGTATGCAGGGACTGAACATCAAGGTGTGTGCTGAAAAGAGAGGGAGGTGATGGCATTTCATTACACCCTGAAAGTTTGGGCAGACAGTTTAGGCTCATATTTTCACAGAATCTGATGCAATTCACTTATTTAATTTAGTAAGACACAACTAAAGTGAGGATTGAGATTGGGTAGTAAATCATCTCATGTGATATCTTCAATCAATTATGATGAAGAAGTTGCTTTGTCCCTTTTTCTGACCACTTCGGACACATTAGCTCAAGGCCTTTTGATTGCAGACAGTTCACCCGTGTCTATCAGTGGGTTTGCAGGAAAAATCAGGCAGCAAAATGTAAAATAATTCTTATTTCAAATGCAAAAGAAAATGTAAACTATTGAGCGTAATATTTTTCAAGCAAACATACAAAGCATGAAATCTTTAAAGATAATGTTTTTGCACACTTCACCAACTGACCGGGAAGTCGACAAACAGCAGGTGTTTAGCTTCTTTTTCAAAAGCCCAGAATCTTTTAGGTTTTTAAAATAACTTAAACTTTGTTTCATTTCCCCTCAGTCTCTCTGACTGGACCAGTAAATCAATGGAGCAAAAGTTTTATTACTGGGGAAATTTCGCCATCTAGTCTAACCCTAACATTGTAATAGGGGGTTGTTGTCTTATTGTGTGTCTAATTCATTCACTCATGTGATACGCAGTATCAGGGAAACCCTGGACAGGTGTTTGCAGCTAGAACACTGGCAGCAGTGAGTGAGTTGGTAAGGTGACTAACCTAACATGTATTGCTGGCTAGTTAGCTAACGTTAGCTGCGGTTTTAAGTGAACGATGGGAGCCGCTCCCATCTGAGAGCTGGAGCTCCAAAGCTAGTGTCAAATTTAAACTGTATATAAAAAGGTGTCAAATAAAGAATATCACGTGACTGATGATGCATGAAGCTTCACACGTCACTGGCACTTTGCACAGCATTCAGTTGGACAGTTTTGAAAAAAGCTAAACTCTGTGATCAGCACATTAGTAGGATAAGAAGAAGGGAGAATAATAGTGAAATATGGCGAAGTACATTAGAAAGACATAACCAAGTATGATGACATTTCCTCCTGAAGTAATAGGCTAATTTGATGAATTTAATCACACATTGTGACTCATATTAAATATCACTTAAATGTCAACCATAAAGTTTAAAATCATGAGCCCACAGTGGTACACAGAATAAACTACACCAAAAAGGTACATATAGGCTTTTTGCACAGTAACATTAATGAAGCACTTCTGAACAAAAGTGTATAGGTTTAATAATAACACAAAGGCTTCTTGGACTTTTATAGCACACATATGAGAGTATCAATATCAGAGAGGTGTGGTGGTGCTTCGGCCGCATTTAACTGGTACTGTTCCTGATCCTTGATTTGCTATTAGAACAGACCAGATTTATTATGCCATGGATTCAGATTTGTCATCTAAACATTAATTCTGTGAACTCCACTCAAGCATAGTATTAAAAAAAATTGGTTTTAAGATTAGTTACGCTATTTACGCCAAATTCCTATCCCACCTATGTTATGTAGCTTTAAAAGAGTAACATCAGAGAATTGCCTCTTTTTAGGTGGCAGGGGTGAAAAACAGTCATCCTCAATATTTGTTGTGTTATGGTTTCACAACGATGAAGACAGTTGGAGAACAATTCAATAAAAAACAGGATTTAACGTCTAAAGGATGATTTTTTCCCCCGGACAACTAATATGTTTTTCTCAAATGATGTACAGATTTTTAGACAGTCTATTAAAAAATAAATCTCCCTGGGAGAGCACGCTTCTGGACCCCCTAGGTTTGGGCTAAGCCCCCTAATGTTTACATCTGCCTCTGCCTCTAAAGTCAACTGTATATGGCAAAACTTACAAGCCTACATTACAGCCTGGTTTTTGACCCCTACACATTTAACAAGTGTTTCCAGAGTCATTTGTCACATGTCTGATAAACCGGGGGCTTGCAGAACTTTCCCAACCAATTATTATTCAGTTTAATTATAACATGAAAAAGATGTAATTAGTTCTAACAGTGTCAATGTGCAACATGGTTAAGGCTGGAAGTACCTCCCCTAGTAATCAGTAAAAGTTTGGAACGTGCTGTAGTGGAACAGAGGACTTCTTGCTTATGCACACGGATGCAACTTAAGAAGTTGGTAATAAGTTATTGAGTCTATTTGTGTTATTAACTGAGTTTAAATATGTTTTATTTTTACCTCCAATAAAAATCAGTTTGTTCAATGATTTTCTGCAAATAAGTACACATTATATTTTTTTTAATTTCTCTTAATATCATATCAATATTACATTGTCAAAACTCTTCACACAGTCAGCGAAAGAGAAGTGTATGTGGACCAAACTGTGTGTCTCTCATTTTTCATTGCTTTCACACAAAATGCATTCAATGACCACTTTCTTCAAAATCCAAAATCCAACTCTTTTCCCATTACTACTTCACCACTTGCAAAACACTATATATTTGCAGCACATTTTTCAAATGCTAACACACTGTGTCCAAAACTGTTAAAAGCACGTTCAAACAAAATGTTTGCAAATTTCCTGCATTTTTGCTGTAGCTGAACAGATACATATAGAAAATCTTTGCAGAACATTTACATCCATTTTATGTTTTAGAGAAATATGTGTAATGTTTTGAATGTGGTTTTACTGTAAAACTGCAAGCTGAGTGTAAAGCAAGAAATGTGCTTATATTTTAGCAGAATTGGTTCAAGCGGATGGTACATCAATTACCGACTGCGGTCATTGGGTTTCAGGTACGAGTGTTAACTATGTAAACAACTGAAAAAAGTGTATTGCAGCACTGAAATGTCAGGAACTTCTTTTTTTCCACAAGTAAATTACTGAATGCATTTCTGATTTATTCTTGTAACATATACTATTGTACAGTCAATAAAGTGAAAATATGTTACAGGTTTCTTCCATTTTTTCTCAGTCGCTTTGGTACATTTGCAAAACAATTTGTATTGGTAAACTATGGCTAAACTTTCGATGACAATGATTGAAAATGCACAGGGCTGTACTTTTTCTGTATGGCATAGATCAATTTCAACAGTACAGAGTTACAGTAAACATTGCAAGAGATTGGACAGGACTCACAGTTACACTTTTACTGTATGCACTGTAATTTGTTGAGTATGTCAACAGTGTGAAAATAAAATAAAAAACAAGGATATTTTACAGCACTGCATAGCACAATGGAAACAATTACAAAATAAGAAATGGAAACATGAAAACACCCCGTCAGGTTGATGTTCTTGTCTATTGGGCCACAGATTCTTATTCACAGCACAACAGATCAGAACTTCATCAGTTTACTGTAGGACACATTTAAAAAACAAATCTAATAGACATATGTAGGAAAATGCAGATTATGATGTGTTCAACCATTTTGCATGAAGTGACTTACACAATGAACAAAGAACCAGTGTACTGTAATACATTGTGATCAACATGACACACAGTAAGCAATTGATAATGTAGGAAACAGCAGACAAATGTACATAATGCTTCCTGTTGTTAGTGTTTTGTAGGTCTGTGTGTTATGAGTGACAATGTATGCTTTCTGAGTGGGTATTGTTGCCAGTGTTTTGGCTGAACGAGTTTATTTTGAGGCTTATATGAAGTGTTTTGGTGGTTTGAGTGACTTTTGGAGGAGAGATTAACTGTATGGCCAGGATGCATGTTCATAATGCAGACTGTGTGAAGAGTTTTGAAAAAGTGGCTTCAGTTATGACCATTGCATCTTAGCAATTGAAAAAAACTGTAAATAGGTGCTCTCCTCCTCTCCATACAATAAAACACAGACTGCATGATATTTGCTGTCGTAGGTTTACAGTATGTTGATTCTCTGTGACTCAACTCTGCCCCTCCCCCTTCTCTCAATCATCAAAGCAACAGAACGCACATCCACATCAAGCATTATGAAATGCAAAAGGCTCATGTATGAGGAAATCAAAAGAATAATCTGTGAATCTCTTTTGTTGCCTGTTGACAATACACACATATGACACATTTGACTGGAGACTGGAGGATCAAACACATTCTACAGTGAGATAAACTAACCCATGTTCGTTACATGATAACGTTACATTTATTGCATTTAGCCAATGTGATACATCGGCGTTAGCTGGCTTGCTGCTTTCCAGTAACTAACATTACTATTTATGTGTCTTTTCACCAGAGGCTCAGCAATATCAACACTAGCTAAATGTATTGAATGATAATGAAACGGTTAGCGAGCTAGACTTATTATTATAAATGAGATTGTTGCTACACTTTATTACAGAAGCCCTAAGCAGCCATCCATTCAAAGTTTTTTTTTTTACTAATTTTCTTGGGATCAAGAGGTAACAAATGTTGTTTTCCCGTGATAACAGGATAATTTTCTCATGATCTGTAGCTGGCTGCTCCTGCCTTGCATCAACGCTACTGTAAACAAATCACTCCATTTGCTTTGAAGCGTTACATAATTTCTTGCAGGCTAAAATAAAACAATTTGACATAATACCTTTGGTACACAGGAAAGTAATGTGGATCGTCTTAGCTGGTGAAGTAATGTGGAAATCCATAACGTTACACATTATATATTGCACCAGATAATGTTAGCATCTGGTAGGCGTTGACGTGACTCTCTCTGTGACTCCAGCCTTTCTGATGTTCACTGTTTTCACCCTACATATCTGATTCTCGTCGACAGCGGATGTTGCAAGCAACAGAGAAAACAGGCTTCAATTCTAAGTGAGGTTCCAGCTCATTGACAAAAATGCAGTAAAAATTTGAGTTTTCAGTTTTCATGACAAAGAAACATTACCAGAGGCTGCTGTCTCACACAGTGCTACTGTGATGACTTCATGCCAGCAGGACTTTGGAAGACAGTGATAATGAAATATCATGGAAATGAGTCTGGAACCAAGCAGGTGATAGACATGTGTGCAGCCTTGTTTGTGGGTCACCACATCTGAAGAGCAGCCAGATTAGATATCAGAGAGAGAGAGAGAGAGAGAGAGAGAGAAAGATAACTTGGAAAGTACAGTTTGCTTGACCTGCTTGGATGGGTTGTTTAATGGTCTAAGCATAATAAAAATCTTTGGTCTTTGACTCTGACATTATTTGTGGGTAACAAAACAGAAACTATCTGTGTTATAACTCTTCTCCTCAGTGTCAAGCTTTGGTTTTGTAGGGAGTGTAGTTCGGTTCTTTCATTTTCAAATATGTTGAAAGACTATACATCACTTGCTGTAATGTCAAAACTTTTGGTAATGTGCCATCAGACTTGGCAATGGGGCAATATGAGGTAGGTTGCCTAGTGAGGAATGAAGCTTATTAATAATTTTGAGCACTTAAGTTGCTGCAGCTCCACCATAATAATAATGTACTATGTCGCTGGGCTGCGTCCAGTCAGAATGAGCTGATGAATTATTCACAGGAGATTGGGAGGTCACTAAACCGTGGTCTGCTGATCTCACCTACACACACACACACACGCACACACACACACACACACGCACACACACACACACACACACACACAGAATGAAAGGTTCACTGGGGCATTTCTGTTTAATTCTGGCACAGAGAATCTTCCTAAAGCTGTATCCATGGTTACACATTTATCTTTGACCACTGACAGTGTGATGGATGCAATGAAAGACAGAAGATAAAGCACGCAATTGTTCATTTATGTTGTGGCCAACACATAGGGTCAGTGCTAATAGGTCAATCCCTGAAGGAGACAAATGCACTTAAAGAGAAACTGCTCACACAGGGCTTCATTATGGACTTCTGCTCACTCATTTTTAAGTCTAGACAATTATGAGTTAGTAGATGAGTTGGTAGAATAACCAATAATATCACTGAATTGTATATTACAGTTTTTTTCAATTGCTAACCTGCGTTGGTCAAAACTGAAGTCACATTGACAAAACTCTTCACACAGTCAGTATGTGTAACAAACTGTGAATCATTTTTCATTGCTTTCACACAAAATGCATTCAGTGACCCCTTTCTCCAAAATTCATGAACTCTTTTCTCATTACTACTTCACCTCTTGCAAAACACTGTATCTGCAGCACATTTTTCAAATGCTAACACACTGTGTCCAAAACTGTTGGACACAGTTGGACACTGTTGGACACAAAACAGATTGATGGTAAATGTACTGCATTTCTGCAGTGACCAGACTGAAATAAATAGAAAATCTTAGAACACAACACAAACGCAGCTGATAACAATTTCAGTTGAAAGCCTACCCAGGTGTGCTGTGTTTAGTCTTGTTACCACACAGACAAAAGGGGACAGCTTCAGATGGCAGAAGTTTCAAAACATGGAGCAAGGAAGACAGGCTGGTGGGGAAAGAAGAGTGGCAAGGGGAAGGATTCGTGGAAGACAAAGGAGAGAAAAACCAAGACCGGTGGTCTCTGATGAGATAAGGGCCACAATTGATGACCATGTTGTAAACCATGGTCTCTCTTTGAGAGAGGCTGGTTTAAGGGTGCAACCAAATCTCGAGCGTTCAACAGTTGCATCAATAGTATGGATTTTCCGGCAACGCATCCTCCAATGATAATTGAACTACATATTACGGTACAAATCAATATTTTGGAATTTTTACATGTACTGACATTTTACAGTAAAATTTATTGATTGTTTTGTGTTTTACTGTAGGATACAAAGGTTGCCTCCCACAGGAGGGAGAGGTAGAATATTGTCAGATGTGCAAGAAATTGCCATTGTTGAATTGGTAATTGGCAACAATGCAATAAAACTAATGGAAATTCAGGACAGAGTGCTGGCAGACAATATCACTTTTGGAAATGTGAATTCGGTCAGCACAACGACAATTGCCAGAGTCCTGGAGAAACATAAAATAAGGACGAAGCAGTTGTACACTGCACCATTCGAGAGAAACTGTGAACGTGTGAAAGAACTCCGTTATCAATATGTCCAGGTAAGATGTCTGTTCAATAATCAATCAGGGAACATACACAGTGATGCATAATGTGAAGTCCTGTGTATTTACTGTATTTTAGAGAGTAATGGAGCTGGAAGCCTGGGAAACTGCACATACATTCATCTTTGTGGATGAAGCTGGATTCAACCTGGCAAAAACACGCCGCAGGGGAAGAAAAGTGATTGGACAGAGAGCAACCGTGGATGTCCCAGGGTAAAGATGAGCTAACATCATGTTGTGTGCAGCCCTGTCCAATGATGGTTTGCTGTTACACAAACCACTCATTGGCCCCGACAACACGGAGAGGCTCATGTCTTTCCTGAATGACCTGCATAATCGCCTTGTGCCAGCGGAGGAGAGAGGAGCAAGAAACTCCCCTATCTTTGTTGTTGTGTGGGATAATGTGGCATTCCACCACTCTGCTGCAGTTACAGACTGGTTCGCTGCACATCCCAGGATGTCAGTGTTCCTGCCTCCATTCTCCCCCTTCCTAAACCCCATAGAGGAGTTTTTCTCTGCATGGAGGTGGAAGGTGTATGACCACCATCCACATGACCAGATGACCTTACTGGATGCCATGAATGCGGGATGTGGAGACACTTCTCCTGAAGACTGCCAGGGTTGGATTAGACATTCCAGAAGATACTTTCCAAGATCGCCAGGAAAGACATAAGATGTGATGTTGATGAGAACTTGTGGCCAAATGCAGCAGAGAGGGAGGACTAGCACCCTGAAGTACTGTACATTATGAGTTTTTGAGGTGTTATTTGTATTACTGTTTGCAGACCTGGAATTACAGAAATTTGTGGGGGGGTTTTTTGTTTCAACTTACAGTAAAATTTTTCACAGTTTACAATACTATCCACAGATGTAGAACAAATAAAGGTTATTGAAGCAAATTGCTGCATTTCTGATGCATTCTTGTTACATATACTTTAGTACCGTGAAAGTGTTGTTGTAAATGAAAACCTAATTTATTTGCTCATGCTTCAAAGATAAAAGTTCTTACTCCCTGTTTTTAGTGTTTTGTAGGTCAGTGTTATAAGTGAGACTGTATGCTTTCTAAATGAGATTTGTTGCCAGTGTTTTGGTTGAACGAGTCTATTTTGAGACTTGTACGAAGTGTTTTGGAGGTCAGATTAACTGTTTGGCCAGGAGACTGTGTGAAGAGTTTTGAAAAAGTGGCTTCAGTTGTGACCATTGCATCTTAGCAATTGAAGAAGTCTGCCTCAGTCAGATACAAAAAAATAAAGGAGACAACCAAGAAATGTGTATCAAGTTTCATTCCAAAATACAAATGAAAAATGTAAAGTCTAACGACAGAGCAGCTGTAAATTAAGCATTAGGTGTGTATTATGTGGCATCATTCAGCTCTGAAATACAGAACAACTTTGCACTTTTCTGAGAGGGTGCTTTATTGCACCATCCAGCTTTCAGTAGTGATGCATGAAAATGACAAAAGGAGCAGCTTTTCATGGATTAAGATTGGGGGAATAATTCAGATCACTGGCCTTATATACAGTGAGTTACCAGTTTATTCAGGACACCTCAGCAACTTGATCATATACAATAATGCTAAAATTAATTCTCTTTGAGAAGCCGGTCATTTTGGGGGGCTGTAGCGAGTGCTTGTGTTGCGCTGGGCTCCATTATGCAAAGGTATTTCTAACTTTCTGCCTTTTCATATAAAGTAAATGGATTAAATATTAAAGTTGCATTGTATTGCAGTCAAATACAATCCCTACTATACTATCTATAACCTCTAAAATGACTACAAAGTTGAATCAACGGCTCTCCTGACAGTGTCAATAAAAGTAAATGGACCACCAAGGTAGAATTTATTGCATGGCTATTATATGGGAATGCATTAGACTGTACAGGTGTAATAAACTAGTAACTCAGTGTAAGACATCATTAAAGGCATAATTTCTAGCTTTTTTTTTTACAGTGTCAGATACTCAGTCTATTTTCATCAACAAAGAATAACTCATTATTTCAATAAAAATGTTTGAAAATCCTATTCTTACTAAATTTACATTTTTCCTTTTCTCCAGTGCAGTGGTATTATTTTTTGCCTTTTTACATTCATTAGTCTCAGAGTTTTCCTATACCAGAAGGAGGCTGAGTGCTTATCTACTAATAGGTGGCCCTCCTCCTCCTATTCCTCTCCTCCTCGCTGAAGGATTCTTCAGGGTTTTTAGTCCACCACCAATCCTTTTCCTTGCTCCCAATCCTCCTGACCCCCTTTGTAGCCTCAATCCCTGACCTCTTTCTGGCTTCACATTCTCTCTTTCCTCCTCTAGTCTCTGAGCACTTTCCTTTTGCTGCTCTCATTTTTAGCTCACAGTCATTCAGCCCTCCACTTCAAAAGCTAAAGGTCTTGGTTAACCTCCCTCCCTCCTTCAGTTCGCTCTGTCAACAACTCCTCAGTCATCTTCCTCATTGTGTCCATTGACCAGACCTGACTCCCATCGCTGCACCAGAGGCGTCTTCTGTCTGGGGGCCCGGGAAATGCAGAGGACCTGGGTGAAGAGACGGGACATCAGAAGTGGTGATTGCAAGCCAAAACAGGAGGGGAAGTGGGAGTAGAAAGAGAATTAAAGAGTAGAAACATCATGTGGGAGCAGGAGGCGAGACCAATAAGCCAACACAGGAAAAAAGGAGCAAAAAGATAAAAAGAGAAGGATGAATTTATTTCCTCTAGAGGACATCTCTTTGGATGAACATCATTAGCTCTGTTAGTCAAAGGGAGGTTAATGCAACTGTGATCCAAGGCCATGTTCAGTATGACTAAGTCAACAACTGAGGCCAATTTCTCCAGCAATCCTCCGTTTATTCCTGAACTGTAATCAGGAACCAGGTCTGTGCAGAGAGCAGATAACCAACCAGCAGAGAGAGAACAAGGGGGGGGGGATGCGCAAGGCAGTGAGAGGAAAGAGAGCCAAACATTACTAATGCTAATGTAAAACTGAAGCGAGCAGCTAAATCCCAGCATATCAATGCCAAACTGAATTAAAGAGCTAAAGCCACGGAGCAGCACTCAACTCTAATCAGAGATACCACAGTTTCAAAGAGATGCAAGACCCACAAGGCAGGTAACGGAAATCAGTGGGATTTTCAACTGAATTTTCTCTTTCTCCGCTATTTACACACACACACAAACCCACTGTTCAGACTCGGTCTCTTCCTCCCTCTCTGTCTCAGGGCTGTTTGCCTCCTTCCCTTATCTATGAAGATAAGCGCCTTTCTGTGTGTTCAGTATGTTATCAGATGTTCAAGGCCCATATTTGGTGCAAAAGAGATGCTTCATTGGACCCTTTACAATCCAGTGCAGTTTTAAACATGCGTTCATATTCATGTGGCAGAGAGACTCAATGAACCAAAAGAGCGACATTGCAATTCATGAGCTCTCAGTTAAGGAAGCTTTATGATTGTGGAACCTGATTTCTTCTTAGCTGCACTGGAGGGAGACGTGGAGGAAGGTGATTTGCCTACATTTTCATTTCCTAAACTGAGTCTACCAGATAGGTAATGGTTGGTGTGTTCATTTATAAAGCAGAAAAAACTAAATAAACGTCATTATGAGGCCTGGTGTTTTTTATGTTATAAAACTTTCAGAAAGTCATTGCAAGCAGTCATATAAAGAAAACTGTAATGTCTGAACTTCATTTCAATGAGGCGGCTGGCATCCCTGACTCACCTCTGGCCGGTTAATCTTCTGCTCTTCGGCCTGGGCTGGGGGCCACATGCCGAACGTGCCAACTGACTGGCGTGCTGCATGAGAGAGAAAGAATAAAAGGTGGCTGAGGGCAAGACGAGCAAGAGCGGTGTAGCAATGAGGCAAAGGTGCGCCAGTGATTGTATTTTTGTGTGCCACACTGTGAGAAATAAAACCTCCTTGAATCAAATTAAGAATGAACAGCAGCAGAGAGAAATGAGAGGAGAGGAATGCTGAGGGAATTAAGGGAAAGAAATGGGTTTGACTGAACATGAGCATGGTGAAATAGAATATGACAAAGGTTATATGATTCATTGTCTGTCAAATAATACATTATTGTCTATTTCCCAACACTGAGTCATGGTCATTCAGGTCATGTAGTGGCACACCCTGATCAGTTTGTCACACAGTTGTTAAACCTACGACGACGGGTGATACTTTCATTCATATAGGGTCACAAAAAACACATTGGCAACCATTCCTGCCAACAAAACACACTCAAACATACACTCAAACATACTGTACTGCAGTTGTTCCCACCACCATTTTTGTCTGAGGTCCCCCCAGGAACCTGCCAGAGTACTCATTCATCGACACTATCTTTTTTAAACTGGATGTTTTTTTTAAAACTATCACTTATATAAAAGCTGATAGTGTTTCATGCAATGTAACTGTCAATGTCTGCTCAAGTTTGCGTTCCTACTGCAGTTGGAATAGAAGTATTATTTTTAACTAACTATTTCAACAATGTATCTAACACATTTAGCTTTTTCACCATTCACCCAATATAAAAAACTGTTGATTCATTTCTTTATGTACCCATTACATTATTTGAGTGCTAAGCTAACTATTTCAGCCGTTTATCCATACTTTTAGCTAACTATTAAACTTCTCTGCTCAGTAGCTTTCACACACTCTCAGTCGCAACTAGTGTGCGGCTATTCCAGCTGACTCAACATGTGGATGTATTTGTTTAATCAAATTGTAATATATACACACAATGTAAGCAAAGTTGAAATCACACTTGAGAAACTTGTTCTCTCATATAGGCTGTATTGGCAGCCCTGTATTTCACATTTGCTCTTGTCGACACTGACTCTATATTATCACAAGAACTAAAAAAACAAGTTGCATGCACTTTTTGAATGCCGGATTTAGACTTCATCTGAAAATTGGACTCTTCCAACTCTCTCAATTCTTGCTGACACAAATGTTGAGATATGACTCAGGACTTTTCCTCGCCTCAACTTTTGTAATTAATGTGAAAGACCAGATGCTTTATTTATTGTGGAGTTACAGAATTTTATTTTCTTGTCAGCCAACTCATGGTCTCCAGTGCAAAATTATTGCTCACATCCACTAACACTGGTTTCGATTGCTGTTTGAGGTTTTCCACTGACCATGAGAAAAATGAAATAATGTGCTCGCTGGGCTGTTTCAGGGGGTTTTCATCATCTCATCACCGATATAAAAACTACACACATACCCACACAGAAGCATCCATACACACAAACACATTGTCTCTGTGTGCTTGTGGGTGCGAGCAGGATCATTTATGCCCCACACACACATTTCTAGCCCTAGACCAACACTCAGCACTACACTAACCTGCTGGGGGTCCATTTACTCCCCTGGATGAAGAGCCAGGTAAGTCAGGAACAGCCAGTTCATTCATTGAAGAAGAAGAAGAAGACAAAGTGGGACTCTTTCTTTCTCTGCTGACTGGCCTACCTCCTCCTCCTCCTCCAATCCCCCCTCCTTTTGCACCCTTCATGCCCCCATACACGCTGATCCTCTGCTTGTGAAGCTCCTTCTCCCTCTCTTGAGCCTCCCGGATGTCCTGCTCCACTTTGACTAAATTTGTGGAGGAGCGCAGCTTGAAAAAGGGGTTCTCCCTGTGTGCCACCTCCTCCTCTACCTCCTCACTTTCCTGCTCTCTCCCTTTAATCCCACCATGTCCTCCTGTGTTGGATGATGAGAGGTTAGGACTTCCAGAGTCGACTGCAGTGATAGGCTCTGCCTCTGGTTTGGCGTGGTAGCGTTTATGTGCTGGGACACTAAGGTTATTCTCTAGGATGATGACCTGACAGTCTGTCCCCTCAGAAAAGCCTCTTGGAGTCAAAGAAGTGGAACCCCCTCTTTTGGCTGAGTTAGGGCTCTGTGTGGAGTTCCTATCCACATATGAACCTCCTAATGTGGATGCCTGTGATGAGATGTCGTCCTCGTTCTCCAGCATTGAAATGTCACTGGCAGAGGACCAGGACGTGGCCTTACTCCTGGATGACACAGTCAAAGTTGAGTCATTGGGTTTCTGAAAGGCCTCAAAAAGCTGCTTCCTCTCTTTGAGCTGGCGTACCGTGCCTTTGTCATAGAAACCTGGAATTTTCCCAAGCCTGACCAGATCCTGTTCCCTCTGGACCTCCTCGTGGATCTCATGCTGCATCTTTTTGCCTGCCAAGTGCCTGTCTTTGCCTTGACACCTCTCAGACTTTGCAGTTAGTGACTGGGAGAGAACTGTTTTCCTCAAAGGGATCTCTACATACTCTGGTGAAGTGGGTGGATTGGGAAGCCCTCTGGACCTTCTCAGGCTGTGTTCACGTGCTATAGCCCGTCGGATCTCCCTCTCAATGGGAGTCTCTTTTGGTACAGCTGCTAGAGTGACTGTAGAGATGGTGGTGTTGCCCTCCAAAGTGCTACTTGGGGAGAAGTCCGCTGAAACTCCACTGTCACTCTGACTATCATCACACGAGTCACTCTCCATCCTGGTGTGTTTAGAAGTCACAAATTTGAACTTTTCTATCTTAAACTCTTGTGTTCGGACAGTTTTAGAAAATTTTAACAGTCCACTGCCGCGTTGCTGCCCAACCGTCTTGTTCCCTTCAAGTCCACCTGTTTGCTTGCTTTCTCCGTCTGTCCTTTCCCCCGCCCTACTGTGCCTTTCTCTCCCAGCTACAACACAACCAGAGCCCTGAGAACCTGCCCCGCCCTGATCTGACTGCTCCATGGCAACAGTAGACAAAGGTGAACAGCCCTGGCTGAGCACCTGTTGTGCAGCTTCCGGGTTTGCTCTCTTGGGGGCAAGTTCATATTGGCTCTGGGACAACAGCTCCTCCTGCTGTTTGACTGAGGGAACTGTAGGCATGGTTGAGATCGGGTCTTGTTCAATACTGGCAGAATATGAGGGCTGGAAATGCTTGATTCTTTTATCTAGTCTAGTCAATTGCTGCTGACAAAAAATCACATCAGTGCTAACTTTCTCTTCTTCCTCACTTTCATCAGCAAAAGGAGGGGAGCAAATGGTATATTCATCATCTGAGTTGTTTCTGTCAGAGGGAGAAAGATGAGCAGTTGAATTTCTTACAGCCACTGCAGCCCCAGACATAATATTTTCAGCTACACTGTTGTCAAAACCATCTGGTAAGAAGTTGAGCTGTGTCATCTCCTCAGATGTTAAATCTACCTCTATATCAACTGGCTCAGTGAGAAGAGGTGGCCATTCTTGACTATTCCAGCTATCAGGAGACAGGAGGTCTTCTGTTGGGTCTGAGATGATCTCAGCATCACTGATCCACTCAGCGACCTCCCCCTCTAGGCAGGAAAAGCCATCCTTCTCGAAGCAATCTTGTGTTAATAAAGAGCTGAGGGGAGGAGGAGGTGGGAGAGCATCCTCACATAGATCAACGAACTCTTCAGATTCCTCATGAGCCTTTAATGCTTCTGATCGTTGGGCAAGTTGTTCTAATTCTGTCACCATCTCTTGTGTCTCCCTGGGGGTGCACAGACTAATTCTTGTTAATTCTTGCTTTTCCAATTTGATTGCATCAGCTATTTCAGCACTCGTGAGTGTTTGGTTCTCTTGCTGTGCTCCAGGCTCCGAGACGTCTACGTCCTCTTCAGACTCTGCCCTGGGAGCCTTTTTGTCTTGCAAGGGGGAGTTGTAGCTTATGACTGCAACTACTTCACCTTGTGCTCGGGACTCATTGATCCACTCGTCTTGTGAGTTGACAGAGCCCCGTTCCTGCCAGTCCACGGGCTTTGTTGCCATGATGACAAGTCTGCTGATGTAAAACCGTTTGGAGCAGTTGGGATGTCTAAGTGAAAGCAGAGGAACACAGAAGTGAAAGGGGAACAACAGAGTGATTAAGAGTTCAACAACAAATACGCATTTTATATCACATCATTTCAGCGCAGATAAAGTGACTAGCCATAGTATTATCAAGAGAATAAATCATCATACTGTGTTTACTGTGACATTTACTGTAGAATAGTTTTGAGAAGCTGCTATGTTTTCATTTCTGACCTCATTCAACCTGTGTTGCAACACTACAGCTAATAAAAAGGAACTCTAAAACAATAATAATACAAAATATATAAGAAATTATACAAACAGTTGCTTTTTGTCTTGTCTAGACATCTGACATGTGCACCTGACCAACTGCATCTCATATGCCTTACTGTGACACTAAAGCTTTTGGAGCAGGATTATAAAAAACATCTAGTAGATGTGTATTTGTAAACTATTTTAATGGCAGATGCTGAGTAATTTTCTTATTGTATAACAGGCAGGCTTTGGCTGTAAGGTGCTAGCGCTACCCCAGTGCAACGTATAAAGTTTTCTGCTGAACACACCTTTCTTTAATCAGCTTACAGGCTGGGGAATGGCTGACAACCACACACACACACACACACACACACACACACACACACACACACACACAAAGGGTGTTCAGCACCTCTATTATCTATTTTTCTTTAATGCACACACTCTGTTTGCTATTTGAAACTTGCCCTGCATCAGTATTGTTGCCCTCCCCGCCCCCTCTCTTATACACACAAAACTGCTCAGTTGTCGTCTGATCAGCCTGCACCCTGACAAACTCAAATTTCCATCCATGCTGATTCTTGCCAAGCCACACTGGCTGGACTTCAACACTGACTGATCATTGAGGGGAATGTAGAACACAGCACTAGGGATGACTTGTCTCTGATAAATTGGGGCAGATGGACAGATACAACAGATAGATAGTTAGATACTAACAGTACATTTCCCCCTTCATGTAGCGATAATAAGGACTGACAGTATGACATGACAGGATGAATGGGGAACACTGTAGTAACAATAATGGCAAAGCATGTAGGCACCACGGCAGAACAACGTGGCCTAATGCTGGTAAATTAGGATGAGAACAGCGAGGGAACAGTGAGTCATGACAGCTATGACAGACAATGTTTACAATCAACAGCCGTTGGTGTAGTGAACCAGTCACCAGCTGCACACTATCACTGTATTTGGGCTGTCATTGGTAAGAATATGTATTATACTCCACCTGCTGCTGTGGCAGACATGGTAAAATGCATTTCAACATTGTTTTCCATTCTAAAAATATTAATAATTTCCGGCTTGTTTCCTGTCCTATGTCTACATGATGAACAAAACAGCTTATTAGAGTGGACTCAGAATGTGCCACTGACATCATTCAGAACCCATTATGAAAAGTACCCTAGCTGCTGTCAGACTCGCCGTTTTCTCATGGGACGGGAGTGGGAGGGGGGAATGAGATAGTTGGCATTCCCACAAAGTTATCACTGTGTCTAAATGAAACCTCAAACCTCAGCTCATTAATTGAGTATATGCACACTGCTCCTTTACATATTCCAGACACAGAAAATAATTGGAGAGGACTATATATATTCAGGTACCACTTGGGTAAACTACTACCTGCCCTGTTGTACAATAGACCACATGTTGACAGACTCACTCTCATGCAATTCATAAAGGTAGCATAGTATGTCACTCATTAACGGAGAGTTCTCAACATGAAGTTTCATTGTGAAATGGAGCATGACAATGAGTATTTTGTCACAGTGAGAAGGAGATTGTTGCAATGGTTTAGACGCTGGTAGGAAAACTATTGCAAATCTTTGCTTAAACAATTCTATTCACCCACACCTGCTGATTATTGTTGAAAATCCTGTTAAAAACAAACAAGCTTAAATCAATTAATACAATGATCCTGCAACGCTACAGTAGCAAAACAATCCCCTCATTTATATTGTGGCATGGTAACGTAATCTGACTACTCTGAGTGTAAACTTTGGCATGCCCTAATGAGATATTTCCCTTGTGCACACTTGCTTCAATAAACTAATGGTATTATATATCTAATATGACACGTTGTTTTTGTATTATTTTCTAAGATGCTCAGAGAAAGCTGGCAGAATTGAACCAAAGGTTCTCCAACTCTCTCAATGGGTAAGTAAGGTTGCAAGAGATTGCGGATTAAAACAACATTACATAACAGACTTATGTTATGCTCATTATCTGCAAAGGGGGCTCACTTTATCAAAAGAACAACAAAATCATGATCATCATTAAAAATACATCTGCGACGGGCTTTACAAATAAACTTGCCCTCCTTTTTGGGTTCAGCAGTGTCCTAAGGTACTTTAAGATCTAAGGGCATTTGACAAAAACGCTAATTAATTTAAATAAAAGCAGCCAACTTCATCACTAATTAGAATTAGTTCTGTTGCCATCTAATGGTTGCTGACATAGTTTCTGGCAGTCACTTACTTTGATATGCTTTAGTCATTGTGGCAAAAAGTAACACCATAGAAAGCTGGTCTCTGCTGGCTTGGCTGTTTAGAATAATTTTTGTAATACAGTTGTTTCTTTTGTAGTAATACTTTACCTGATTGGAATTAAATGGTTGTATGTGTACAAGAATTTCTAATTTCAAAAAAAGCAGAATAAACTAGTGTTATGTCACCTTGTGTAGAGCCACACAAGCAGTGGACAGAATAACTAGGGTCTACAGTTTCACATACCTGTTAACAAAATGCTTCAAAGATGCCCTCCAAATGACAGACACACATTTCTGAGAACACACACTTGTTTCAGGTCACTGATGGTTAATGAACACAAAAGGAATCTCTCCGCTCACGGCTCTACAGCCTCATTACCTGTATCTCCTCCCTTGTGCACACTAACACCCTCAGTACACCGTTCGTGCACGCCCACATTTGCATATAATGCTCACACACTAGCAACCATTCACTAATACACTGATACGCGAAGGAGCACTTGTGCATGCACAAACACATGTGCTCGAGGCTTACCTTACTGTTGTGGATTTGAACATGTATAGTACTAATCCAATTAGTGAGCAACACACACATTAATTATTAAGCCGTGCAAGTGAATGAAGAATGAACCAGAGGGATAAGGGGGTGATTATATCACTGCACACTTTAATTTTGTCCTCTTATATCTGGGGAAAAATGGTGTGATTGTATTAAGCATTTTAACATATTCTTTACATTGCAATTTGGCATAAATTACAGAAATCTAAAAGGTCAGTGAATATGTTCAAGGTGTAATTCACAGTACTAATGAATACATCTATTTATTTTTAAAGCATTCAAGAAAATTTTATTCATATAGACCAAATTCACAATTCACAAATTTACCTCAAAGGGCTTTACAATTGGTACAACACTGTCAAGACTCCTCCCCTTTTTTTACCATACTGTGTGACCGAATATCATGTACCGATGTGCCAAAGTCTCTCATGTCTTTTATTCCTCTGTTTTCTCCTCAATCTGAGCTGCTGCTGCTGCTGGTTGGCTCTCGGGTTGCTCTGGACAAAGCTCCTTGGTAGGATCCATCACAACAGGTGTAGGCAGCTGATAGCACTTCAGCTGAACTCTGAACTCCTCCATCTCCTTCTGCTCCACCTCCCTCCTCCTGCTCAGCAGGTACAAGTCTACAGATAGCCTCTTCTTTGACTTCACAATCCACTGCATCACGAGACAGTCCAGACAGGACGTATTGAGGAAAGACCCAGTGAGGTCGAAGCGATTCCCCACATCAAAGGTGAAGGTGCCGCCTTCTACTGAGATGTTGTAGGGCAGGTACTGGCATTGATCACCAAAGCGGTTGATTTGGGTATAAGAGAAGGTGGAAGTTTCACTGGAGTTGGAGAAGTACATGGTGATGCTGTCTCTCACTCTCAGGGCCTCCATGGATGGTGGGTGGTTGAGACTGCCTGCAATTAAAGCCCATCTGCCCTCCAAATGATGAGGATCCAGCTGATTTATAGGCTGGACCAACTTCTTACAGACCAGAGGAGCTGAATGGCTCAGAGAGATCAGGCAGGGGAGGAAAATGGCCCACACAGGAAACATATCTCTAATGATTCTGTTTAGATATCCCCTCATCATCTCTTTACTAGTTTTTATGTCATCAAGAGTGGAGCTGCTTTTATAGTACAAATTGCATTAAGAAATCACAGTTTTGCAACACTATCAAAAGTCCATGATCCTTTATCCAGCTGTTCAGAAAGTTAGATTATTTTGGGAATGATCATTATTTGCATTGCATCCTCCAGTACTCTTTGAACATGCAATATCCACTTGCCTCTGGTTTGGCGAGGGTTACACAGAGCAACAAGCAACAGTGTATATAGCAATTATGTTTTACTGGGTTAGCGCTACAAATAAAACAAAAGTATTTTTATTATTGATTAATGTGCAAATTATTTTCTTTATTAATTGTATGGTCTACACCTTGTCAGACAATTGTGAAAAAGTTCAAATGAATCCTCGGCGAAATCTTTAAATTGCTTGTTTTTTCTGAGAAACAGTCCAAAATGAAGATTAATCTAATTTGTTGCTTATTTTTCAGCATGGGTAATCTGGTAATCAAAGTAACTGAGTAATCCTCTAATTGTTTCAGCTTTATTTACGGTTACAATCAAGACATTACATCTATATTGTTAATTTTATATAGTTCACTTTAGGCAATTAACTCTGTGTTTCTGTTAGAAACACTCAAGGACTTTCTGTTATTCCCTAACTAGAAAGAAAGAAACAGTGTTGGATTTTTGAATTTGAACCACTTTAGGAAATATTACTCTGGATACCTCGGCCTTTCTTTTTTAAAATGTGTTTTAAAAGTGCCCCAACTTTATGGAAATGCAATGATGAACTGTTGAAGTGCCCATTTAGTGACTTGGCATCAAGTACAGAACAATGTAGAAGTGTGGAAAAGTACCACAGTTGGTTTTATTTGCGCACATTAATTCATTTCTTGAGTTCAGACAGTGCAGTTTTGATTTTCAATGATTCAACTTGACAATGAATACAGCTGGAAGAATTAAATTACGTAAGAATATGCCAGCTATCCAAGGATTGTGCTGCTTAGCCAATAACTGAATCTTATTCTCAAAATTTTAAAATGTTGTCATAGTGAGGTGGGAAAAAGCATTTCCCACTTGAAAAAGAGCCCAATCACATGGACATGTCTTTTATTTCATTCATAGAATATGACCAAATATCATGAACCAAAGTATCTTTTTCACCACAGTCTGAGCAGCTGCTGAATTGCTAACACTCTGGTCAAAAGTCTCATCACGACCCTGAGCCCTAGACTCCTCCATCTCCTTCCACTCCACCTCCCTCCTCCTGCTAAACAAATGCAGGGGTTTCTTTCACTCATCAAAATGCATCACCACATAGTCTGGACATACAGGGGACCATCACAGTGAGGTTTAACTGATCAAAGGTGAAGCTGCTGCCTTCTAGTGTGATGATCAGAATCAGAATCAGTTTTATTGCCAGGTATGTGTACACATACGAGGAATTTGACTCAGGATTGTACATTGCTCATGATGTGCTTACTTATACAATAATAAAATAATAATATAATAATAAAATAAAATCAGACACAAAGAGTAGACAACACTAATATACACACTATGAACAAAACAATATAGACATATTGACAAATAGTGCAGTAATCAGAGTGCAAAGGATGCAAGAGTAAACTATTCTCATTATGTACATGTTGAAGGTGGATATGATATACAGGTACACATACACATACATGCATACATGTACACATGTACACAGTGTGATGGAGCATAGTGCAAAGGATGCTGGAAAAAATAAATAAGACCTATGACCTTATGACCTGAGGTAGGTGTATTGGTATACAGTATATACAATATGACATAGTATGAACATAGTATGAACAGCAGTGAAATAGAGAATGGTGAATAAATAAATAAGTGGAAACCAGTAAACAGCTTCTGATTAGAGACAGAGTTACTGGGTTATTGCACAGGAATTGTTCCTGACACTGTGAGTCAGAAATCAACTGTTCATCAGAGTGATGGCTTGTGGGAAGAAACTGTTCCCGAGTCTGTTGGTTTTGGTGTACAGTGCTCTGTAGCGCCTACCAGAGGGGAGGAGCTGGAACAGGTTGTGTCCGGGGTGAGATGGATCTGCAGTGATGTTTCCTGCCCGTTTCCTGACTCTGGAAATGTATAAGTCCTGAATGGAGGGCAGGTTGGCACCGATTATTTTTTCAGTTGTAAGATGTAGTCTGCTCCTGTCCTTTTTGGTGGCAGATCCAAACCAGACAGTGATGGAGGTGCAGAGAACAGACTGGATGATGGCTGTGTAGAACTGGATCAGCAGCTCCTTAGGCAGGTTGAGCTTCCTGAGCTGATGCAGGAAGTACTTCCTCTGCTGGGCCTTCTTGATGATGGTGTCAGTGTTGGGCTCCCACTTCAGGTCCTGGGATATAGTGGATCCCAGAAACCTGAAGGATTCCACAGCAGACACAGGGCTGTTGAGCATGGTGATGGGGGGCAGAGTGGGGGGAGCTCCTCCTGAAGTCCACGGTTAAGCTCCAGGTTGTTCTGACCGCACCAGAGAGCCAGCTGATCAACCTCCCGTCTGTAGGCCGACTCGTCACAGTCCCGGATGAGGCCAATGAACGTTGTGTCGTCAGCGAACTTCAGGAGTTTGACAGATGGGTCTCCTGAGGTGCAGTCGTTGGTGTAGAGGGAGAAGAGCAGTGGGGAGAGCACAAACTCCTGGGGGGCGCCAGTGCTGATAGTCCGGGAGCTGGATGTGATGTTTCCCAGCCTTACCTGCTGACTCCTGTCAGTCAGGAAGTCTGTGATCCACTGACAGGTGGAGGCTGGCACAGTGAGCTGGGTGAGTTTGGCGCTGAGGATGTCCGGGATGATGGTGTTGAATGCGGAGCTGAAGTCCACGAACAGGATCCTTGCATATGTCCCTGGAGAGTCGAGGTGTTGCAGGATGTGATGCAGACCCAAGTTGACAGGATCATCCACTGACCTGTTAGCCCTGTAGGCAAACTGCAGGGGGTCCAGCAGGGGGCCTGTAATGTCCTTCAGGTGGGCCAACACCAGTCTTTCAAAGGACTTCATGACTACAGATGTCAGGGCGACAGGCCTGTAGTCATTCAGTCCAGAGATGGAGGGGGTTTTTTTGGGACCGGGATGACTGTGGAGCGTTTGAAGCAGGAGGGAACTTCACACAGCTCCAGTGATTTGCTGAAGATCTGAGTGAAGATGGGGGCCAGCTGGTCCGCACAGATTTTCAGGCGCGATGGTGAGACACCGTCAGATCCAGGAGCCTTCCTGATCTTCTGCCTTTGGAAGAGGTGGCTCACGTCCTCTTCATAGATCTTTAGATAGAGAAAGTTTGGAAGCTTCGCTGGCATTGGCAAAGTTAATCTTGACACTTTATTTATGTTTTGTACCAATATTCAAATGGTATATAATATATAAACTGAAATTTTCATATCAATCTAGGTATTAAAAGGAATAAAATTGCTTTAAACTAAATTATATGAGAGGTTAATAAGGTTGACATACAGATACAGATTGAACAATAAACTCTTCATGGCAAGTTTTCTTTATCCTATCTAATTTGCTTCATCATTTGATTTGAGCAGATTTGATTGACAGTGACAACTCATTAGATTTTGATTCAGATTTTGCTGAACCCTGAGTAGTACATATAATGTGCGAGATGAGCACAAAGAAAGGAAACCTGTTGTAACTTTTTGTGTTAATGTGGGAGCCCATTGCTTAACATAAAAAGTTGATACAGAAAATGTGTTTCAATGTAACGTTCAATACAAATATATTTTAACAATAACACTTACAAAAGTGACTTTGGATTAACCTAATACTCCAGTGTGTAATATTTAGGAGGATCTACTGACAAAAATGCAATATCATATACATAAAAATGTTT